TACCTGCAAGCAGGCGCAGGGGATGGGGGTTCAATCCCTGGGCCTGCAGTGCCGGCCCCACCCTCCTGAGATGGCAACTGAGACTGGGCATGATAACACAAGCCTGTAATCCCAGCTCTTCGGAGGGTGTAAACAGGCAGATCACTAGAGTCCTATCTAGAGATCAGACACCCTGTAGACCCTTTCCTAAACAAATAAAATAAAATAAAGTAAGAGCAATATAAAAGTTAATATCACATCAATCAGTAGAAGACTAGAAGCTTACTCCTAAGGCAAAGAACAATATAAGGATGCCTCGTTTCACCACCCCCACTCAACAGTGTACTGAAAGCTTTAGTAAGTTATTCAGCATGAAAAGAAAAGAAAGAAAAGGCATCCACCATAAAAAAATTATCTTTATTTATAGATCCTGAAGATATCAGAATATAAGTGTTAGCATTAAAGAACTAATTTAGCAAAACTGTAAAATACATGATCAGCACATTTAAAAACACAGTTCTATTTCTAAATATTGGCAATGAACAACTAAAAAGGAAATGAAGAAAGCAATTTCACACACACAGACCATATACAGGAATATATTCAATCAAAGAAACACAGGTATGTATGCTATAAACAGAAAAGGCTGAAAAAAAATTGAAGACAAAAATAAGCAGACAGAAATAGTATTGTTATAATATTAATAAAATGGTAGTACTACACAAAATCATCTACGAAGTCTCACAATTCCAATAAATATCCCAACAAGCTATTCTCACAGAAATGGGAAAACTAATCCTAAAATTCATATAGAATTGCAGGGTATCCCACATCTTTAAGAAAAAAAGGACTGTTACTGGAATTCCCTTTCCCAGTATCAAAACTTTCTACAAAGCAAATTTAACAAACCTGGTATTTGCATAAAGATAACAATGTAAGATCAGACCAACAGAATAGAGTTCCAAGTCCACACATAATCTCTCCCCTTGGATATCGATCAGATTGACAAGGGGTAGGGAGAATGTCCTCTAAACACTAACCAGTTCTCCAATGGACATCAACTGGTGTCTTTATAATTCAATACAATTCTGATTACAGTCTACTTCCACAGAGAGAGAACTCAATTCCACAAGATGTTTGTACTTCACACATTAATTCCAAGTACCAGTTTGACACCTACAAATCAGGGTTTCTTAGATTCAACTAACTTGCTAGGACAACTCAAAGAACTCAGAGAAACATTATACGTATGTTTACTCATTTATTATAAATGAGATGACGAAGGATATAAGTAAACAGCCAAATGAAGAGATGCATACAGCAAGGTAAAGGGACATAAAACTTCTATGTCCTTTCTGGGTGAGCTACTTCCAGGGACCTCAGTGTCCAGCAACTCTCTAAACCCCAAAGTTTTAAGATCTTTACACAGACCACTATAACACAGACATGATCAATTATCAACTCAATTGCCAGCATTTCTCCAGGACCCTTCCAAAAGTCACTTCATTAAACAAAAGATGCTGCTAAACACCTAGGACAATGAGGTAACACTGAGTTCTTTGAAAAAATAGATCAACACGCACAGTTCTATTTCTACACATTAGCAACAAGCAATCAAAAAGCAAATAAAGTTAAAGACCAAGCCTAAGAACAAAAGATTCTCCCACTAACCCTATCTACAGGGGCTTTTGGAGCATTGTCTCAGGAACCAGATGGGGGGACAAAAGTATATGTTTCTCATACCTCCCCCCTTTGCAAAAATATGTTGTGGTTCACAATATCTCTGCCACAACTAACACTTCAAAAAATCAAAACCAGAAACTAGTCACTTCATGTAGCTTATATACATGTTTTCTTTAACATTCCTACCAAGTTCCATCTACAAATATGTTAAGAGCACCCTCTGTTTTCATCTGAGACAGAAGGAAAGGGCATCACCTTTCTTCTACACTTGGCCGTGTGTTTTACCTAAATCAATGAGCCCAAAAGAATCTTTTTTTTTTTTTTTTTGGTAGTTTATTTGAAGGTTATGAATAACGATGTATGCCACAATTTAATATGGAAAGTACTGTTCACTTTAAAAATTGACAATTTTTTTGAAAAGTAACAAATCCAAATGCTATTAATCAAAAGTTTTTTGTTGTTTTTTTTTCTTTTGGTGGAACCGGGGATTGAACTCAGGCCCTTGCACTTGCCAGGGAAGCGCTTATTCTACTGAGCCATCTCCCTGGCCCCAATCAAAAGCTTACTGAGTAGCAACTTTCATCTTTCAATACATTGAAATGTATTTCAATATATTAAATATATTTGCTTTATCATCAATAGTATCCTTTGGATGTCTGAAAGAGTTTATTAATTGATGTTCAGTTCAAATCCTTAGTACAATAAGAGTAAGTGGAAAGAAAAAAATAAGAAAAATAAAATACTTTAACTCTGAACACTCAGCCCCTCCCCAAAATACCAAATAAAGCAAAAAAAATAAAATAAAATAAATAAAAGCCTTTATTAAAAAAGGCAAACTTAAGTAAAAATAATTCTAGACATCTTCCTAAAACTAGTCAGAGGCTATGGCCTCCATGTTATCAGTAAAGACCTACAAATAAAAATAAAATTTATTCACTAATAATTTGAATATTATATTAGAAATCATTTTCTTCTCCAATTATAATAGATCTAAACATCCCACTGACTTCAGATTTTACTTCAAATAAAATCTCATAGCTGTTTTTTCATATTTACACATGTTTATCAACCCTAGCATCTTCAATATTATCAAAACATTTATCTGTCTAGAGTTTTAACAGTATAAGCCTTTTGATAATTGTCACTAGGCTTGCTTATAAAATCCTGTTGTCACCCAGTTACAAAAAGTATATGTATTTAGGATTAGTGATACAATGGTATATTACACAGCAGGTAATATGCCAGATTAATTATAGCATTTATGTATTTCTTAGCTATTTAACATATACAAAATTATACCACTTTTATTAGTACTCTTTTTCAAACATGTCCTTGATGAAATTTTTTGTTTTGTACCCATCACCCTATTTTTCCCACAGCCCTATGGCTTTTACTGCATGATTCCATAAAATGTAGGGGTCAGGTTTAGGAACACGTATGCCTTGTCACAAAATAACTGACCAAATGTAAGCTAACCAGTACTAGATGTATGAATAAATTTTGATGTTGAAGTGAAACAAAATTTGAGAGGGATGGACTAGAGAGGAACTCTGAGGAGTTAAACAGGTTTTTGGTACTAAGTAATTTTTATTTTTTCAAAACCTTGGCCTAGAATTGAAAGACTATCTCATTAGTTCAGGGTGCTTTAATAAAATAAATTGAGTAGCTCCTAAATAACAGGTATTTCTCACCGTTCTAGAGCTGGGAAGTTCTAGATGAATGTGCTGGTAAATACAGCATCTGTTGAGGGCCCTCTTCCTCCTATATAGCACCTTCTATGTGCTCTCACATGGCAGAGCAGCTAGGTAGCACTCTTTCACAAAGGCACTAAGCCCATCCTCCAAAGCCCCATTTTCTAAAACTACTGCCACACTGGGGATTAGGTTTCAATGTATGAATTTTGGTAGGACACAACACCAAAGAAAAGGCTTCACATTATACCATGTGCATATAAAAAAATTTATAATATATTTGTTATATATGAATGCTATAAACTAAATTATTTTAAATTATAGGGTATGCCATTAAATTTAAAAACAAGCAGAATACCACTTTTTTTTTTTTTTTTTTTGGTATTTAGCACAAGGTCTACAGGGTCTCACTACACAAATCGGACTCGTAGTGATCCTCCCGTTTTCAGCCACCACGCCCAATCTCAACTGCCTTCTCAGTGCACCCAAGGGGCAGGGCTGTGATGGCATGCCCAGGACAGAAAACAATATTTCTGTTGTATCCATTTATTTAGTAAAACTATAAAGAAAAGGGTGAGAATTTTAGAGATGACAGAAGGTGGGATATAGCCAAGGAAGGATGAAGTTTTATTGTGTAAGATGGATGCAGGCACAAGGTTAGTTTTTACACAAGATGCTCTTCAAAATACGGTCTAAAGATACCAGGGAATGTAAGACATTTTTCTGGAGGGTCTGCGACTTCGAAAAAGTTCAAGGATACTTTCATAATAAAACTAAGATATTTTTTGTCCTTTTGTTCTCCAAAAAGTGAGGAACAGTTTTCTAGCAAAATGCTGTGTCATTATTGTAACAGACTAATGTAAAAGTAGAATTCAGCTATCTTTTATTAGATATCAAGAGATCTGCAAAATTACAGGGCAATGCCACTTTTACAGTTTATTTTATATAAAAACATTTCCATAATAATACTATTTAGGTGCTGGGGAGATGGCTCAGTAGAATAAGCGCTTGCCTGGCAAGCATAAGGGTCTGAGTTCAATCCCCGGTTCTGCCAAAAAAAAAAAAAAAAAGGCATAATAATGCTATTTATCTTAACATGTTATATGAACCAAACATTTCAAAGTTCTCAATTTTAAGTATTAATACAGTATGCTTTAATACAGTAGCATAGGTTGCTATACATAACCCACAAAAACAAAAACTCTTTGGTTGTGGTCCATAATAATTTTTAAAATATAATGGAACCAGACATGGTGGCACACACCTATAATCCCATTACTGTGGAAGACTGAGGCAGAAGGACCACAGCTTCAAATAGCCTTGGCAATTTAGTGAGACCCTGTCTCCAAACAAGTGGTTTTGGTGGGGTAAGGTCTGGGAATATATAGCTCAGAACAAAGGCAGGGGAATTAACTTCCAATATCAAAACAAAGATATTTATATATAATTTTTTAATTCTTGAAATCATAAGTTTGAAAACCACTTTATAGTTGATAGTCTTTTTATATATTTAATATTTCATATTATAAAAGGTTAAAAAATATCACAATGTAGTAAAAAGACAAAAAGAACTCTACTACCACCAAGTGGTGCTAAATATGGTAAAAACTCATTATAGTGATGTATCTGTATGCAGGTATGACTCACCGATACTCAGTCTGAGAAACACAATCATAGAGTTCCTGGGCAGTAAATTCAACATGTTTATTTACCTGAAAAGAACCAAAACAGTTATTAAGGTATATTAAGTCTAATGGGTAGTGAGTATGACCTACTTATGTTAAAACAGTCCCTGTTCTGAAGGATCAGAATCTAAAGTCTTAGATATAATCATAAAACAGTAAAACATTCACTGACCATAATGTTAACATTGAGCTAAGTGTAAAAATATTGGTCTCACTGTTTCAAAGTAGAAGTGAGATGAGTCTGGATTTGTAGGAATCTGAGCAAAGCAGATAAATCACTGGATATCAAAGGTATGGAAAAAAGCATAATAAGATTAAACTGGAAAGATCTATATAAATTGGGAAACAAGGAGACTGGCAGACATTTCCTAAAAAGTAGTTTTTTCTAGGGTCGATGAGACAGCTCAGCAGATTAAATGCTTGCTTTGGCAACAGCAGGGACCAGGGTTCGATCCCCAGTCCCTCATGCTATGCCAGCCCTGCCCCTGGGGCCTGCTGAGCTGGTGACCGAGTCTGGGCATGGTGGCATGCACCTGTAATCTCAGTGCTGAGGCAGCTAAAAACAGGAGAATCACAAGTCTGAGCTGCACTGTGAGTCCCTGTATCAACTACGTAAATGAAAAAAAAAGTTTTTTTCTAATTTTAAGGTCTGCATATTTAATCTTTAAATTAGTAAGTATAATTAAGAAACAATTAATAAAATCATAAATATAAAAGTCCTTCATCATACTACTGATGCTTTTTTTTTTAAATATTTCTTTTAATTTTTATTTATTTATTTGTTACTGTGTGTGTGTGTGTGTGTGTGTGTGTGTGTGTGTGGCCAGCTCAGCCCACCAGGGGGTGGGGCTGGCTGGCATGTGGTGCTGGGGGATCGAACTGCGGTCCCTGTGCTTTGCCAAGCTTGTTCCAAGTAGGTGCTTTAGACCACTGAGCCATCTCTCCAGCCCCACTACTGATGCTTATGTCCAGAGAAGAACCTAGACATTAGTAGAAAGGAACAATTCTTTTTAATTAGATAACAAATAGCATAGGAGCAACTAAATTTTTTGAAATTTGGAACTACTGGAAGCAAACTAAAAAACTATTTTCTATTTGATTTACTTTTATAAATTTAATTTTTATTTTATTTTATTTTATATGTATTTGGTACAGGGTCTCACTACATAGCTCAGACTCATAGTAATCCTCCTGTTTTCAGCTGCCCCAGCACTGGGATTATAGACACGCACCACCATGCCCAGATGAGGCCGCAGGTTTAGCGCACCCGGGGGCGGGACTGGTGTGGCACATGGTACTGGAGATTGAACCCAGTCCCTGCACTTGCCTAAGCAGGTGCTTAGTCCATTGAGCTATCTCACTGGCCCTTTTTAAAATGGTTGTACTGTTACTAAATGGTGTGACGTTTTAGTGAGAAAAATATCTATTCTGATTTAATTAACTATAAAAATTCAAGTTTCCTGGAGAGTTGAAAATATTACTCATTTGCAAAAATTCCATGACTGTCTTCAATGTTTTTACATGAAGTACACCATGTATGAAAAATAAGTTTCATTTACTGAAAGTTAAGTGGCTATAGTTTTTAAGCATAATATTTTAGGAATGGGATGTGGCTTCAGAGGTAGAGTGTTTCTAGCATTCATGAGGCCGAGTTCAATTTTCAGCACCACACAAAAAAACCATGTGTATACACAGATGTGTATGTATGCTCATATATACAAAAAAAATTTTAATGAACATAATCCTAATATTTTGCTTAAAATTTGTATTGCTTAGTTACTTAATATAAATCATTTAATATTCAATGATGTATAAAATTGACATATGGCATCAAAATTTTATGTAATTTAATATTTTATTTTTAAAATATTCATTTAACATTAAAATATCAAGTCCAGCTTCCTACTTCTTCACATGTTTTGTCCTTATCCTATGGGGTTTCCTTATTTTCATTAATTTGATAGCCAAACTTAGGCTATCAAATGTCAATATATCACAGAGATCTGAGAATAGTCTTTTTGCTAGCCACTGACAAAAGTTAGCTGAGTAACTGATTTTGAACCTGATTAGGAATACAAAATAGTTCCCTAAGTTTTTAATACATTTTTTCTTATAAAAGTATTTAGCTTTATCTTTAGTTTTAAAACAACCATTCACACTTACTTATGACAGTTATCCCTGAACACAAATGAAACATAAAGGTGATATGGCTCCAAGTTATAGGCTATGATTTATAAAGTAGATGGTTAATGGTTAATTTACTAATAAATATTATGAAAAAATATTCATGACAGATTAGCCTGAAATATAGTTTCATAAGTCATTAATTTTTGACTATTAAGGCAGCTTTTCTTACTCATATTAGGGTCTTTTAAATTGTACTATTAAATAGCCTCTATCTCCATGCTTAAATGCACAGTTTTAATTCCCAGTAAACAAACAGCTACAAAATTACTTTTCTCGTAAACATTAGACGTGTGACTATAAAATGGATTGTGGATCTGTTATTATTAGCTTTTTTTAGTTGTGAGTACTTACAATGAAAGCCACATTAGAAATTATTGATAATTATTAAAAATTCAAGAACAAAAGCAAAGTATAAAGATACTCAAACTTCTTAAAAGATGCAGGTGGTTTTATCACTTTTTATGTAACAAATGTCTCCAGTGTAGCAACTGGTGAAGAAATTCTGCTAGAGAAAATAAATGATTTTCAAAATCTGAGATCAAATCTACATATTCTTATACAAACCTATTAAGTTAGGTATTTTCTCCCAATGTGCTTAGCAATAGGAAATATTAAACTCAAACAGTTCAACCTATCTTTAAAATTGTCCAGGATATGTGATTTTAAAGCTATATATATGAATGAATGAATGAATGAATGAATAAATCTCCACAAATATAAATTATTGTAAGGCTTACTGTCGCAAAATTCAGAAGGTATCATGAAATATAAATCATCTTAAAAGAGGAAATACTCTCAAGAATCACATAAGGCAGTCAGAAAGTATTAAAGCTTTTTTTTCTTTATTTTAGAGAAGGATCTACAGGGTGTTCCGGGTCTCACTACTAGATCAGACTCATAGTGAGCCACCTGTGTATAGCCTCCCAAGAGCTGGGGTTACAGGGGCACCCCACCACCCTCATTCTCAATCCCTGTCTCAGCACGCTCCAAGGGCGGGGCAAGCACAGCAGGCCCGGGGATGGATGGAACCCCTGGCCCCTGCGCCTGCTTGCTTTAATCTGCTGAGCTATTTGGCTGGCCCTTAAAGCTAATTTTTAAAAAGCTCAGGTAGATACCAGTCTTTGCCTAAATAAAAACAGGAAACAATTATTGAAGAGTGACTCTGCTTGGTTCTGTTTGGAACTCTACATATATTATTTAGTGTTTGAAGAATACCTATAATTTATCTGTTGTTGTTATTCCTTTTTCACAGATCAAGAAACTGTGACAAGGAGTCTTGAGTCTTCCTAAAATACAGTTATTAAATGGAAGAACGTTTAGATACAGAGTTTGGCCTCATTTTCTAGATTCTTTTTTTTTTTTTTTTTTTTTTTGTGCAGGGTCTCACTACACAGCCCACATTAGTCGTGATCCTCCTGATTTCTGCCTCCCAAGTGCTGGGATTACAGGCGTGTGCCAGTGCACCCGGGGGTAGGGCCGGCGCAGCATGCAGAGCCAAGGATCGAACCCTGGCCCCTGCACTTACCTAAGAAAAGTTTCTATATTCTTAATCACTGAGTTATTGACAAAAGATATGACGTATCAAAAGTTAATGACGAACTGACTAGTATAACTGAAGGAGTGTGACTCCATAAAATGTTCAACTAAGCTAGGCATGGCAGCATACACCTGTAATCCTAACATTCTAGAGGCTGGGATGGAAGAGGCTGTCACCAGCCTTGGCAACATAATGACTTTAAGGCCAGCCTGAACTACAAAGTGAGATCCTATCTCAAAAACAAAAACAAAAACAAAAAAAAAACAAAAAAAAAAATCTTTGCTTTTTTCCATGTATGTTTGATACATACCTGCTTCTCCGTTGTAACAATATTTTTTTTTTTTTTTGTACCAGGAATTAATCTCAGGACCTTGTACTTGTCAAGTGGGCACTTTGCCACTGAGCTATATCCCCAGCCCCATTTAGAATGTTTTAAACACACAAAAAACTGAGAGGAGAAAAACACAGAAAATAGGCAAACAGCTTTAGGCTAACAGGAAGAGAAAAAAGAACAGGGTATTTTCCTTAGGTCAGCAATGACAGGGAAAGCATGCAGCTTAATTTACAAAACACACTGTTGCCTCATTCCAGCTCTAGCTCCAGGGCCAATGTTGTTGCTACAGAGGAAACTAACTTCCTTTCCAGAAATCAGTGATTCTTCCTCCCTGGGGGCCATTTTGGGTATGTGAGTTGCATAGGGTGGCAGAATATTTGCCAAGAAGCATGGATGTTAAATATCCTCAGTACCCTATAGGATGAAGAAATGACCTGTCCAAAACGCCAACAGATGCCCAAGGAGCAATTCTCTGTGTGGTAAATGTGTGTTTTTTCAAAATTCTATTCTTTTTTTACTTAAAGAACAAAATAAAATATCGAATATGTCACTATTAGGGAGCAGGGAAGAAACAGGGCATGAAAGGATAGATAAGCAACTCTAGAGAGCTATGCATAAAATGGAGACTACAATTAACAATATTGGGGGCCGGACAGATAGCTCAATAGAATAAGCACTTGCCTAGCAAGTACAAGGGCCTGAGTTCAATCCCCGGTTCCGGAAA